GACTGCATCAAAGTTCAAGCATTGCTTGAACTTATTGCACATCAGGTAACACATTAGAGTTGAGAAGGAACATTGAGATGCTTGCTGCACTAATGGAGGGACAACCTGGAGGAGTTTGTTAGCTTCAAGGTAGAGAATGTAAAAGTGTGAAGCTAATGTTTAAGTCCAACGCTGCCGTTTTGGTCCAAGCTTCATGCAATCCTGACGGTTGATTCAAGGGTCATCCTACGGCTGAAATTTCCCTGAAAAGTCAAAGATATAAAAAGAGGGCAGCTCTCCAAATTGAAATACACAATGAATAAAATCGGTTTTCTCTATTCTTCTTCGACTTTGTAACATTTTGCTTTGTTGGGTTCTTTGATTTACATTAATTCTTGTAATCTTGGTGCAATCAATTGGGTTGTTGAGTGAAGAGAAGCTTAGGGAGTCTTTCTCTTGGGTTTAAAGGTTATGGTAAAAGAGTTGAGTGATAGATTAGCAAAGTGAGTTGGGTTGTGTTTGAGATTCTGAAAGTGTACTATGTAAATGATATTGATCTTCTTAGTGCAGCAAGCCTCGGTGTTTGGGAGCTCAACGTGGACATAGCTTGCTCAAATCTTGAGCAAGTGAACCACGGTAAACTCTTGTGTGTGTTTGCTTGTTCTTGATTCCTTTTGTGATTAATTGGTTGGTTAGTGTTTAGTTTAGTCTCAAATTGCAACAATTACATATATATTTTCAGGTCTATTATTTTTTATTTTGGGCAAGTAAGTATGCATAGATAGAAAGAGAATGTAAAAAGGTACCAGAACAAAAACAGTTGTCTTACCTTAGGACCTATCCTAGGTTATGACCAATAGAATCAATTAGCCTACACAAGACTAAAGGAGGCAAAAAACAAGAGAAGACAAATGCTTTCCTCTTCCTGCTCAGGACTCTCCCTTGGTTAGGAAACAAAAATCAATAAGCCTATATTGGATTGAAAGAAAACAATAAAAAGACTTATTCCTACTTTAGGACATGTCCTCAGTTAGGAACAAAACAAAACAAAAACAATAAAAATGGGAAACTCACCTTTTTTTTTTCTATCTCATCATATCAAACAAGATAGGAAAAAAGAGAAGTGCTCATGAAACCACCCGAGGAGGAATCGGCTTTGAATAAGAACTCAGACTGTAGGGAAAACTTCTTTACTTTTTTTTTTTTTTTTTCATGGGTATTGTTGCCCAAAGAGAGCACATGCTAGTCCCATGTATTGAAGAGTAATTGCATGTATTGTTATATAATGTTATATAGTGTTATGTAGGGTTTTTTTTGTAAATTCATACTGGTAGGTATAGGTTTATTGTTTTATTTATTCCTGCAACTCTACCTTTTCTAATCAATCATTTATTCTAATCTCTTTACTGCTGCAAACTGCTGAGCCTCCCTCTTTCTCTCTTGGTCTGCTTTTCTCACATGCTATCAGAGCATTAAGATTTCGGTCTGTTACTTGTTGCATTTTTTTTCCTCTCCTTTGTGGTTAGCTTCTTAGAGATGGTTGATCCTTCCGTTGATAATTCTCTTAGGTCTAACACCTCTACCATGGCTTCGACCCCTCATTATTCTTCTTCTTTAGTGTTTGTTCTTCCGGTGTCCATCAACATTGCAACAAACTTTCCTTTTCTCATGGAATGCCCCACTTTTCTTGCTTGGAAATCTCAGTTTATAGATCTGTTGGTCATTCATGATTTGTCTCATATGGTGGTTCCCAATGTCGCTGCTCCTTCTCCTCAATTGGCAGACGGTGCCGTGAACCCAGCATATGGGTTATGGATTAAAGCTGATCGATTTGTTCTCAGTTGGATTAAGGCCACAGTTGCACTTTCGATTCAGTCTATTCTTTTGTCATGCACCATCGTTGCCACTGCTTAGTCTCTCCTTGATAAGCGAATTTTTCCTTTATCGCGAATCCACATTCGCACCTTCTGGGATCAACTTCGTACTCTTTGAAAACATACTGATGTTCAACTGGCTGACTATCTTCTTGGTGCAAAATCTCTAGCGGATTCCTTGGCTGCGGTTTGTGATCCTATTTCTAATTCTGAATTGGTTGACTGTGTAGTTGATAGACTTGGTGTAGAGTTTAAAGAGTTCATCACCTCCCTCCGTTTCCAGCCAACCATTTCATTTGATGAACTCTATGATCTTCTGATTTAGGAAGAGCTTTTGATCAAGAAGCACTCCTCTCTGCCTGCCCCTACCATGGCCATGGCAGCGTCTCAATCTTTGCCACAACCTCTTTCCTCCCAACTGCGGCGACAATTCTAATCTCAGCAGTCATTGTTCTCTTCTCAACAGCCATATCAACAATCATCGGGCAGATGACACCGTGGCTCCCGTAATCATGGCTCCCATAACCGTGGTGGGCATGGCTGTGGGTAAGGTAGTTCTCGCCCTCTGTCGCCTCCATCATTCTAGCCGCCTTTACTCCCATCTCCAGTTGGTGTTCTTCTGCAAGAGGCTTGTCAAATTTGTGATCGTCAAGGTCACTCTGCTCGAGTTTGTCCTCAACGTGGTAACTTTGCCTACTCTGCAGCTCCAATTGTCGAGTCGTTCGTTGCCATGTCCATCGAGACTAATTGGTGCCTTGACTCTGGCGTTACTCACCACATGATGCTTAACCTTTCCTCTTTGTCAGATGCTCAGCCATACCGTGGGTCATCCTTTGCTGCTGTGGGTAGCAGTTACTCCCTTTCCATCACCCATATAGGTTTCGTTTCCATTTCTGACTCTCTACCTATATCGTCTTAAAAATTATCTGATGTCTTGTGTGTTTCGAGTCTTCATAAAAATTTGTTGTCTATTAACAAATTTACCTCTGACACTAATACTGAGCTTATTCTTGATGCTGATGGTTTTGTTATTAAGGACAAGTGGTCGAGCAAAGTGCTTCGCATTGGCCGCAGTAGTAATGGGCTTTACCATTTGTCTTCGTTTGTGCCAACGACTTTCTCTTCTGTTCATGCGTCTTCTATTGTCTAGCATCGTCGCCTTGGTCACCCATCCCTTGCTGTTGTCAAGTGTGTTCTTACGTCTTTTCAGTTTCTTGTTCGTGGCTCTCAGTCGCTCTTGTCCGTGTGCGATGTTTGTCTGCTTGGCAAAGGCTGTCGTCAGCCCTCTTCCAAATGAACTTACACCTTACGTTCTCTATTGGAGTTGCTGCAACTTGATGTCGGAGGTCTTACACCAAAACCATCTTTGTCATCTTTTAAATTTTATTTGTCTATTGTTGATGATTTTAGTCGATATACGTGGCTATATCCATTATATCGCAAATCTGATGTTATTGTGATTTTTTGTGATTTTAAGATTTTAATAGAAAACCTTCTTTCCTATTCTATTAAATGTGTACGGTTTGATGGTGGTGGTGAGTTTGATAATAAACTATTTCGATCTTTCGTTACTTCTGCTGGTATTACTCATCAATTCTCATGTCCTTATAACCCAGCCCAAAATGGTGTGTTTGAGCAAAAACATCGTGACATTATGGAGAAAAGGTCATTGTTTGTTGTTGCATGCTAACCTGCCTCCCACCTTTTGGGTAGAGGCGTTTTCTACAGCTATTTTTTTGATCAACAGGTTGCCGACACCACTTCTCCAAAACTGGTGCCTGTATGAGGTGCTCTTTCGTTGCCTACTGGATTATTGTGTCTTGCGCACTTTTGGCTGTGCTTGTTTTTCGTTGATCACACCCATTGCTTCTCACAAGCTAGCCCCACAGTTACCCCATGCATTTTTCTGGGATATGATTCTTCCCACCGTGGTTATCGGTGCCCACATATTCTTACTGGCCAAGTCTACATTTCCCGGCATGTGACATTCCATGAGACCTCTTTCCTTGCTATTGGTACCGTATTATCATTTTCGGCTCTGCCTCACCCTTTGGTTTTTTGACCTCCATCTGTGTCTTCCACTGCTCAATAGCTTTCTATTCTCCTTGGTACGATTCCGACTGGCTCCTCTAGCCCACCGATTCTCAGTTCTCTTCACCAGTCATGTCGTGGTCCTCTTGCCCCTCGTGCGACACCTCTTTTGCCCTAGGGCCCTCTTCCCCTATACAGTCTGATGCCTCACTTACCTCATGTGAGTCATCTCCGGCCTCCCTTACTTGTGCTTGTGATGACTCTGAGCCTCCTCCGCTTTGTCAGAAGTTTCATAGTATCAATGATACCATGGCCTCCTCTCCTCATCAGCTTCCGCATCTCTAGCAGCTGTGACCTTTGATCCATAGTTACATGAGCCCTCGTTGTTCTCTCAAGCTCAGTCTATTCCTCGCTAGAGGCAAGCCATGTAAGAAGAGTACACTGCCCTTCTTAAGAATAACACTTGGACTCTTGTTCTCGCCTCTTCTCATCAGAATGTTTTTGGGTGCCGTTGGGTCTACAAGGTCAAGCATCGTGCTGATGGCATAGTTGATTTGTATAAGGCTCGCCTCGTCGCCAAAGGTTTTCATTAGCAGCTAGGTGTCGATTTCGGTGATACCTTCAGTCCTGTTGTCAAGTTGCCACCAACCGCACTATTCTTGCTTTAGCTACTATGCATGGTTGGCCACTTCGTCAACTCGATGTCAAAAATGCCTTTCTTCAGGGTTTACTCTCTAAAGTAGTTTTTATGGCCCAACCTTTTGGCTTCATACATCCGAACCATCCTCATCATGTTTGTCGCCTCACTAGGGTGATTTATGGTCTTAAACAGGCTTCTCGGGCCTGGTTCGACTGACTACATTCTTTTCTCTTGGATCAGGGGTTCGTCAACAGTCGCTCAGACTCTTCACTATTCATCCATCGACACTCTTCCTATGTTTTGCTTCTCCTTGTGTATGTGGATGATTTGGTTGGCTCCTCCTTGGCGGATATTGTTGTTTTTGTCTCTACATTGTGTTCTACATTTGCATGTCGTGACTTAGGTGAGCTTAGTTTCTTCCTTGGCATGGAAGTCACTTGTCATTCTCGTGCTTATATTTGACTCAACGTCAATACATGGTTGATCTTCTTCAACATTTTCATATGGACTCTTGTGCCCCTTATAGTACTCCTGTTGGGTCTTCTAAGTCCTCCTTACCCTCAGATGCAGATCCTTTTCTCGATGTCACTATGTACCGTAACATGGTTGATAGTCTTCAATATCTCACCCTCACCCGGTCGGACATTGTGTTCGCTATCAATCAGGTGGCTCAACGATTGCATATGCCTACTAACCAAGATTTGTGTGCTATTAAACATATTTTTTGGTTCATCAAAGGCACTCTCACTCGTGGTGTTACTTTTCACCGTGATTCTGGTCTTCACCTTTTGGCATATTCTGACGTAGATTAGGTAGCTGACGTCGCCACTCTTCGCTCTGTATCTGGCGGTTGTGTGTTCTTGGGTCGTAATCTCATATGTTGGGCTGCCAAGAAGCAAACTGCCGTATCTCACTCCAGTGCAGAATCTGAGTACCGTGCTCTTGCTCATATAACTGCCGATGTTCGTTGGTTTTGTTTCCTTCTTCGTGATCTTGGTATTCCGCTGTACTCATCTCCCTTTTTGCTTTGTGGCAACTAATCTGCTCTCCATATGGCTGCGAACTCTTCCTTCCATGCGCGGACTCATCTTGTCGATATTGATCTTCACTTTATTCGAGAGCTGGTTGCTCGTGGTGCCCTCCGCCTTCGTCATGTTCTTATTGTTTATCAACTGGCTGATGTGATCACTAAAAGGCTCTCTCGGGAGCATTTTTAGATCCTTTGTCTCCAATTGCAGCTTCAAGATATGTCACTCCAATTGGGGGGGAGTATTGAAGAGTAATTGCATGTATTGTTATATAATGTTATATAGTGTTACGTAGGGTGTTTTTTGTAAATTCATACTGGTAGGTTTAAGTTTATTGTTTTATTTATTCTCTACAACTCTGCCTTTTCTAATCAATCATATATTCTAATCTCTTTACTGCTGCCAACTGCTGAGCCTCCCTCTTTCTCTCTCGGTCTGCTCTTCTCACACCATGAAACTAGCCCTATTTCAATAATTTTTTTTTTTTTTTTTTAACTTAATTAGAGCTGTATGTAGAGTATTCTAATTTATATAGTCAATTCACAACATCCAAATGGTATTTTTCAGAAGTATTGATCGATATAAAATGCCCAAAAATGCAGTATCTTAAGCATATCCTATCTGTACATAAGAATTCTCCCTACCCTCATCAAGTTAGCTAAAATATCATTGAACAATTTCTTTCATAAATTGATAATAATAATAAAGTCAAATTCAATTTTATTAATTAGTATACATGAGATAGTACAATATCATGATGATGAACTTAACATCTATGAGGCGATATTTGGTTTAGAAATTAACAAGGTCCTTTAAATTGAGAGGAATGCAGACTGATTCATCGTTGATGCAACGGGAAGCTACTAATGAATACATAGCTTCTGTAAGATGATAACCATCCCAAAAACAGTGTTCATCTACATTTGGGCATGGCTTCGACTTTGGAATGCACAATGTTGTCCCATTCAACCATGCTGAGCAACATGGATTCCTCGCATCTGTTATGCCTGCAAAGGTTAATTTCATGAATAATATAATATCCAACTTTTAAGAGTTTTCCCTATAACTAAATGATCTATTCAGTGCCATGGATATATACTTACTCCAATGAAAACTTTTATCATATATTGAGTAAAAAAATTACCATATTCAGAGGGGTTTATTGCTGCATCATAGACTAACCAATAAGCGTGGCCAAGAACAAAGTTCGAGCCCTTGAGGGTTGTGGTCAAATTCTTAAGCATCGCAGGAAGCCTGTTGTTGAAATATTGAACAAGCTGGTTCTTTTCTTCAACACATGTTCCATTCTGTTTATGATTCCTTGTGATCCAAGGGATGCAGCCGAGTGGACCGATCTCGAACGTGATTGCCTTTCTGACTCCAATGTTGTATAGCCTCTGCAGATACAAAATGAGCATCATAAACCTCCAGATTACGAGCAGCTGCAGCTGCTAATTAATTAATTAATCTATAATTACTTAATAATCAATCAACTGTCTGTTTTATTCAATTCAAACCTTATCATATTTTTTGCGGGTAAAAGAAGGAATTCCAGCTATATACTAATTTATCTTAAACTTACCTTCTAAGTGTCATATATGCACATGTAGTATTAAGATCAGCAAACCAAATATATTCACATCCTTTAAAGTAAATTAAATAACATGGTTTATAGTGCAATTTATGGTATAATATTAATTTTTTTGGCAGTGTGACACATATTGAACAACTCATAAACCTATTTTAATACGACCAAGTAATCAAAACTAGTTAATTTAGAGTGTTTTACACAGAGAGTGAACCTCAAGCTGCCGGGAGAGTGAATCTACGAGGAGTTGAGCGAATGGTTCGGGGCCAAAACGTTTGCTTGTATAGGACAACTCGGTGTCAAAATAATTACTTAAGTAGTCGTTACTGCCAATGGAGACTGCCACTATAGACTTTGATAAATAATCTGCAAGTTTTTCTGGGTTGTTGAAATGGCTTGGCAGCTTTGACTTCACTGTCTTTTCGAATAAACCAAACTGTTCTTCCAAACTCAGGCACTTCCCCTGCAAATTAGAAATTACTATTGAAGAATTTAACTGTACAACTATAAAAGATTCTTGACTGTGAGACACATGATCGATCCTGAATCGAAGGAGTCTTGTATTTTATTATTTTCTTTTTAACAAAGAATTAAGTGTTATAGTATCATATTTCTTGTAGCAAATAATTGATCTCGATCTCCCATAATCTCTCCCTCTGCTTATAATTGTAATTTTCTCTTAAGCAAAGGATCAGCACAGATCATGTCAACCTGGAAATATTTATATAATAAAATTACAGAAAAAATATAATCCAGTCTAACTATAAAGAGCTAATTAAGACAAATAATGCAATTAATACACTGCCAAAATAATAAGAGAGAAAGGAAAATATTGTTTAGTTTAATCAAAATCTTACTAATTGACGTCCAGTTTCTGGGAGGATGCCGCATCCACCAGATGCATAATTCAACCCCGTAAGTGGTACAGAGTTATTCACACTCAGACATGGCGGAGAATATGGTAGGCCAAGGAATTCAGCTGGAAAAAGAAGTTGATATAAGAGAATTAAGCATCCATGCAGTTCAACTATTATAAGATAGATCGATATGATAATATGAAGAAATGAAATATATATTGAAGTTTAATGAGTATGATGGTTCTATATATACCCACAAAATCCGCGAGTGTTTTGCCATTAGTGAATCTCCCTGTATGTCCCCGGGGGAAGTTGGCTCCGTATGGGAGATAATTTACTTTAGCAATGGTTGGCAAAATATTGTTATTGCCACTGTCAAGCAAGGAGTCTCCAAACACATACAGTGCTGGTGCAAGCGGCGGCTGCGGGGATGTGCTACTTGTCGCAGAGAAAAGACATTGAAAGAAAATGAACAAGAAAGCGAAGGGCGCCATTATAGATAATTTTCTGCTCATCTTTCAATTGGGTATTTTTTAACACAAATGTTTAAGTAGTGATTATAGAGAAGAAAAGAAGATACATGTACATATATGTACAGAAAAGTAAGGTAAACGTGTCTTAAATGAAGGGGTATTCACATGGAAGAATAATGGCGCATATATTATTTAGTGATAATAAAATTTATTATATTGATAAGGGCTTGGCTAGACTAGCTTTAATTTTGACTTGATATTTACAAGCTATTAGAAAGACTAGTCAAATGATCACGAACAACTCGTTTTATTAATCAAATGAATTCAAACAACCATTCTGTGTTCGTTCGAGTTTGAACACGATTTCAAATAACCTTTTATGCTTATCGAACGATTTTTGAATGAGGGTGTTCGTTCATGTTCGATTCATTTGCAACCCTAGTGTTCGGGTTAGCTTACGTGTATTTCAACTAATCCTTCGAAACCCTGGAACCATTGACCAGGTAAGAACTCCAATGACTATCCTTATTAATAGTTGAGGAGAGATTCGAACTCAGAACCTCTTGAATAATATACCTAAGAGTTTCTATGATTCAAACTCAGAACTTCTTGAATAATATACCCAAGAGTTTCTATGGAACCACTCGACCACCCAAAGATATATTTTTTTTTTTTCTTAAGTAATGTGTTATCTTAAGTTATGCTTTGTCTTATGCTGAGTTAACATATCATTGACCATCTCAACTTTTTATTTACACATCAAAACCATTTAAGACATCATAATACTTGAGATGAGAATTTGAGATATCATTTAGGAAAGTGTAGTATTATTCATTATATAATTCACAACATCAAAATTGAAATATTTCATAAATATCGATAGATATAGAATGTCCCAAAAAGTTATTTTAACACCTTCTCTATAGAGAAAAATTATTATTTTTCATTTTTTGTCAATTCAAAAACTACCGGCTTAGGAAAAAAATTAATTTCAATCAATTTAATTGCAGTTATTAATATTCGTACACAGATAGTATAATATCATGACGGTGAAAAATCGACATATTTGAGAGAAATTTCTTCAAACATCAACCAGGTCTTTTAAGTTGAGAGGAATGCAAACTGATTTATCGTTGATACAACGGGCAGCTATGAGAGAATACATAGCTTCTGTAAGGTGATAACCATCCCAAAAATAGTGTTTATCGACGTTTGGGCATGGCTTCAACAATGGAATGCACCCTGATGTCCCATTAAACCATGCTGTGCAACAAGGATTCGTTGCATCCGCCATGCCTGCATGCAAAAACATTTCATGAATAATATTTAAGAGTAGTTTTTGTTATAACTCTATTCAGTTTCATGGTTACTTCAATGAAAAATTTACCGTATTTTGAAGGGTTTATTGCTGCATCATAGCCTAACCAATGAACATGGCCAAGAACAAAGTTGGAGCCCTTGAGTGTTGTTGTCAAATTCGTAAGTATGGCAAGAAGCCTGTTGTTGAAATATGTAACAATCTGGTTCTTGTCTTCGACACATTGTCCATTGTGTTTATATTTCCTAGTGATGGAAGGGATGCAGCCGATTGGACCGATCTCGAACACTATTACCTTTCTGGCTCCAATATTGTATAGCCTCTGCAAGTATAAAATGAGCATCATAAACCTCCAGAAGACGACCAAATGATAATCAAATCTGCTTAATTTTGTATGTTCAGAGAGCTAGAATGAACCTCAAGCTGCCGAGAGAGTGAATCTACGAGGAGTTGAGCGAATGGTTCGGGAGAAAAACGTTGGCTTGTATTGAACAACGTGGTTTCAAGATAATTATTTATGTAGTCGTTACTGCCAATGGCGACTGCCACTATAGACTTTGATAAATAATCTTCAAGTTTTTCTGGGTTGTTGAAATGGCTTGGCAGCTCTGAATTCACAGTCTTTTCGAACAAATCAAACTGTTCTTCCAGATGCAAGCATTTTCCCTGCAAATTAGAAATTAACATCGAAGAATTTAATTGTACAACTACATATTATACAGTCACTAATAGCGAGACACTAATAAGGGCTGTTATTAGGGTTTTTATTCGACCAACAGTTCTAAGGCTCTAAAAGGAAAGGTACAGACAAGTTAGTCTGAACACTCCGATGATAAAAAAAATAATAAATAAAAAATTCAATTTGAAGTGATACTTCTGGTTAAACTACTAAACTAGGGAAGTTAATTAGTTTCATACTTTCATTTATTGGTTTAGCCAAATGGACAGCTGGACCGGCACAATTGAGAAAACCCTGGTGACTGAAATGATAATTACAAAAATACCAGAAATATATACAAATTAAATGATGGTATAGCCACTCAAAACAAATTATTATACTGTACATATACATTAGGAGGAAATAAATCTAGAGTAGATTAAATCTACATTATAAATAATTTATAAATGTAATGAAATATGAAATATTACTGAATCCTTAATAAATTTCAAGGTTATGTTGATCATATTAAAAAAGAAATTACAATATCATAAATTATTTACATATTAATCACAGAATTTTGGCACATATAAATGGAAAAAAAAAAATGTTCGGCTCATTTTTTATGTACACAATAAAATTACAGAAAAAATATAATCCATGTTAAGGAGAATGATCAGTTTGTTTTTATTTTTAATGACCAAGGTGTGTACCTCAACAAATCCCTCCAGGTCCTAAAACTATCATACATGTAAGAGCTCAAATGGTTATCCCTATTACCAAACCGAGGAGTGTATTTTTTTTTTTTTTTTTTTATGACTAGGGGTGTTCGGGCGTACCTTAATTAACTAATCTCTTGGGACCTTGGTAAGAGTTTTAGTGACTACTCCTATTAGTAATCGATGAGAAATTCAAACTCAAGATCTCTTGAGTAATACAAATAAGAGTCCCTATTGAACTACCCTGTCACCTAGAGATAATTTAAAGAGCTAACTCAGCTATGAGAAATAATGCCACATTAATTAATAAAGAGGAAAATATATGTTCAGTTTAGTTAATCAAATTCTTACATATGCACGTCCAGTTTCTGGGAGGATGCCGCATCCGCCAGATGCATAATTCAACCCCGTAACTGGTATAGAGCTTTTGACACTCAGATATGGTGGAGAATATGGTAGCCCAAGAAATTCAGCTGAAAAAACACAAATGATCATAACACAATTAAGCATGCATGCACTTCAACTATTATAATTAGAAAAAAAGATCTAATATAATGAGTATAAATTCATATATATACCTACAAAATCCGCGAGTGTCTTGCCATTAGTGAATCTCCCTGTATTCCCCGTGGGAAAATTGGCACCATATGGCGAATAATTTGCTCTAGCAATGGTTGGCAAATGATTGTTATTGCCACTGTCAAGCAGAGAATCTCCAAATACATAGAGCGCTGGTGCAAGAGGTGGCTGCACGGCCGCCGCCGCCGCCGTGCTACTGATCAAAGGGAAAAAACATTGAAAGAAAACGAACAAGAAAGTGAAGGGCGCCATTACAGATAACAATAATAATTTTCTGCTCAAACTTTCAATTGGGGAATTATGAACACATGTTTTAAGTAGCAATTATATTTATATGGTGAGATAGATACAAACAAAACAGAAAAGTAACGTAAATGTGTGTTGGTTTGTTTGTTTTTGCGAAAGAAAGTGACATAAATGAAGGGGGGAATTCACATGGAATATCATAGGGAATGGATTAGGCAATTGGAGAAGGTGGAATAGTAATGGGCGCATGTATTATCTACTGCTATCACAAAATTCATTATTTTGATGAGGTTTGTTAAGCAATTTTGACCTGAAAACAGTTCGACAAGTATTTATTTCAATTTGTTTAATCTAAACAACAGCTAGCCTTCATATTTATACAATATATTAATGATTTCTCCATTCATGATTCATCTAATAATAATCTTTTTCTTATGACAAAATCAGCATTTCAGCACGATTTATCAGTTTCAAAGGAGATCGAGTTCACACATATGTACTGAGCACGTATGCATTTACTTTATGACACTTAGTCATGTTCTGTATTATTCATTTAAGAAAATCCAGCAGTAGAATCAGCATTAGTAATCAAATTATGGAGGTTGAAAGAAAGGATGAAATACAACCTAAAAGACAATGGGATTTTGGTGTGTTTTTAACACATTGCATAGCTTTTTGCAGCAATATACGGAAGGTATTGCCTCAGCAAACCAGAGATTTTGGATTGTGTGGAATTATGAGTTGTAATATAGTATTTGCAGGAATGTGTTGGTTTCGTGTAGAGTGAAGGCAACCAAGCGGCTGATCTTGGAATGCAAGTGGATACATGATTCAGAAATCCATCGACAGCCATGAAAATTTGTAATGAAAACGTAATGTCCCATATTTATATTAAGTTTACTCAAGTTCCAACTCTAACAAAATAAGAGCCGGTTGAGCTTGTCTAGGGTTTCTAGGTCAGTTTGTATGCACCTTAGTTATTCTCCAGAACCCTGAAATTACTGATTGGATAAGAAATTTAGTGTTTATCCCTATTAGAGGTCATGAGTACTCAAACTCGAAAAAGACTATGTAAACTTAGATTATTCTTTACTCTTTTACCATTAGGTCATCCAGTGGTGATTGGTTAGGCTTGTCTTCCCTTCCCTTCAAAAGACTATCCACTAAATCAATTAACATGCATTTCATGGACCTAAAAATGCAATTATTGAATAAAAATACTTCTAGGCAACATTAAAACATGAGAGTTTCTTTCATTAAATTAAAGAATCTCTCAAGGGTCCATTGTAATATCCGGTTTTAAAATATTAGGAAACTTCTATATGTATTATCATACCTTTAACTAATTGGGTAAGGATGAGAATTAATTCATAGATATAGATAAAAACATAATAATCTTCATCCAATGGAATCAAACCTTTACGTTTTCCCGAAATTTTCATTAATTTCTGTTGGGATTTAATTAATATAAACAATTACTCTCATTTAATTTTGGTTTTATTTATGAACGTTTCATGCGATAAAGGTAAAAGCAGACTCGGCAAAACTAGTTGACACAGCAGGTACTCGTTTTGAAAACGGGTACGGGTAGAGGTTTTATAACCTGTTTACATTCAATCCGTACCCGACCTTATATGTTTTCAAAATGGTTGGGCCGGGTTCACCCGCGGGTACCCACATTTAAAAAAAATAAATTATTTCGAAAAAAAATGAAAAAAATTATAGGATTAAAATTAATGGATTATAGGGTTTCAAATTTCAATTAATTGAAACTTTTAAAAAGGAAAAAATAAAAAATTGAACTCTCTCATCTCACAACTCAAAGAGCCGCCGCACACCACAACTCTCAAAGTATGTCACCGTAGCACCATGCACCAGACGCACACCGGAGATAGTTGTCGCTGGTGTTGTTGGCTTGGGTCTATGGCTTGGTTTGGGGATGGCCACAGATGGAGGTGTTGGAGGGTTTGGCTGGGGCAATGGAGGCTTGGTGTTTTTTGGCTTTGCTTTGGCCTGTGAGTGTTATGCTGCTAGTTAGGGATTAGGTGTTGGTTTGTTTTGTTTATTGTTTTTTGGTTTGGTTTGCTGCTGGTTTATGTGTGTCTTTGCCCCTTTGGTTAATTTTTTTTATGGGGATTGTATGTTGCTGCTAGCTTGTTTTCGGTACATGGCTTGGTTGTCTGTTATGCTGCAGATATGATGAATTGTGTAGGCCAGCTACTGGTTCTTGTTCTATTGGCTTTGATGTTGTTGATTATGAGGTTGGCCTTGGGGTTTTTCTTCTTATCAACGGGTTGGAGTAGGATTTTGATAAGGTGTTTTTGCTGTGCTTTGGAGTGTTCAACTGATCGTGCTGAAGCTTCTTGTTTCTTCTATATATATTTACATTTATTTAGTATAATTATTATTTAATTTCGATTTTTTTAAGTAATTTACTCTACAGTTAAAGTATTTTACTTTTTAGGAAGTCAATTAGTTTTTGGTTGTAGGAACTTGCTTGGGTTAAATTATTCTTCAAAAAGTCTATTGACATGAGCTCTAAGAGTACAAAGTGATGATATTTATTAATTTCTAACTCATCTTTGTTCAGGTAGGCTCAATTCTCAAGCATTGACATGGAGGAGTCTCAGCCTATAGATATGGTTAATGTGAGAGAAAGCGATGACACTTCTAAGGTAATGAAACCTCCTACCCATACTAGTAGTATTGCTCCTATTCCTAGAAGTAAACGTAAAACTTCAGATGTTTGGAATCACTTTGATACATACTTTGATGAGAATGGGAATGAGAGGGCAAGGTGTCTGAGTTGCAACAAATCCTATGAATATGGTAGTGCCTCCCATGAGACTAAAAATTTGAAGCATCATATGGGAGATTGTGTTAAACGTGTCAATAAGGATGTAGGGCAATTAATGATTGATATTGAGCATAGATTGCAAAGTAACAAGATTTTTCAAGAAACTTATCATGAGAAGATGGCATTATCAATCATTAAACATAATTTGCCATATTCATTTGTGAAGCATGATAGAATTAGGGATGTCCATTTGTATTTGAATAAGGAAGTTAAGCCTTATACTAGGAACACTACTAAGGCGGATTGTTTAAAAATATATAGAAGGGAGATGGAAAAAATTAAGCTTGAATTAAGGAGGGTTTCTAGTAGAATATGCTTAACTTCTGATTTGTGGAGTTCTTGTACAACCGATGGGTATGTGTCTTTAACAGCTCATTACATAGATGAGAATTGGGTGTAGCAAAGTAGAATTCTCAACTTTTGCCATATGCCTCCTCTACACTCATGAGTGTTTTTGGCAGAAACATTTGTTAAATAAATGAAGCATACGACGTCGTTTAACCAGGAAACAAAACGCTGTTGTTTTGTTCATTATTCCAAATGAATCTCAGCCATCAACGATAAAGAGAATCCAACGGCTCAAATGCATTCAGAAGTCAACAGTATAAAAGGAGACTATTCACTCATTTGAGGGCAATCGAATTTAGGTATTCGTTTCGTTTTCTCTGTAAAATTCGTTTGGTCTGGGTTAGGGTTTCATACTCATTATGGGTTTCTTCTCTGTGTGAATCTATCTAGAGTTGTATTTGAGGGCAGGGGTTCCTTGAAGGTTATAGAACACTCTAGGGTTTATTAGGATTTGCGGGATACAGGGAAGTGAGTGAGTGTTTGTATTCTGGGAATATCAGTGAAGAAGATTCTTCTGTAAAGTATAATCTTTGAGGAAATCAATACTAGTGCAGCGAGCTCCATATTCTGGAGTTCAACGTGGATGTAACTTGTTCTATATTGAACAAGCGAACCACGATATATCTTGTGTTGTGTGTTTGTGTTTTGTTCTTGCAGATTCTGTTTTGTTTTGTGGCTAATCTTGCAGGTTGAAGGATTGGTATTGATTTACAACAACATTGTTTGGTTTCTTTAAAGAATGGAGAATTTAAAGGAAGATTTCCTCGTTTACTTTGGACAATATGAGTAATAATGATAAGATAGAAGATATTTTAAGGAGGCAACTATGTGTGCAAAATGCATTGTTATGTAATGGTGATTTTTTCATGTGCGATGTTGTGCATATATCTTGAATCTTATTGTTCAAGAAGGGTTAAAAATTGCTAGTGTGGCTTTGCATAAGATTCGAGAGAGTGTGAAATATATTAAAACAAGTGAAAGTAAAAGAATCAAGTTTGAAGAACTTACTATTCAAATTGGTGCAAAAAGCTCAATGGGATTGCTGTAATATATTGATCCGTGTTTGTATATTTCTCTTTGATAGATCCCAATTATAAAGATTGTCCATCAAATGAAGAATGGGATAGGGCTTGGGGGTGAGGATATGCAAATTCTTGCAACCATTTTATGAGATTACAACTCTCTTTTCGGGTTCCAAATACCCCACAGCAAACTTGTACTTTAAAAATGTGTGAGAAATCCAATTGCTATTGAATGAAGGGATGGTGAGTGAGGATGAAGTTCTTAATAGCATGGCAAATCAAATGATCCCAAAATTTGCAAAATATTGGGATTATAGTGTTGCATTAACTATTGCAACCATCCTTGACCCACGTTTAAAAATTCAATTTGTGGAGTATGCTTACAAGAAAGTTTATGACTTACCTAATACCCAAAGAAAGATGGAGATTGTTAAGAAGAACTTGTATAAACTTTTTGAAGCTTACAAGGCACAATGTCCCAAAGAAGTTCCTGGCATCGCCTGTTCAGATGCTCTTCCTGCGAGTAGTTCTCCTCTTATTATAGGTCAAGATTATAGTTATGCAAGTCACTATACTTCTTTATATTTTTGTGATTAATAAAGTATTGTTTATTATGTAATTTTAACTTTTAATACTTAAATATTTAAATGGTGCAGGATTTTGACAACTATGAGAGTGACTATAGTGCTACTAGGAAGTATGAATTGGATCTTTATTTGGAAGAGCCAAGGTTTGACCGCATCAAACATCATAATATGGATATTCTTGAACATTGGAAA